GAAATCTAGTAATTGATTTGGTCTCTTTTAGCCTTTTTTTGTGCCAAATATATGCCTGTGTTGATGAGTGTGCTTATATTTTGTTGGTGCAGGCTGTTCCATCATTTCCTTCATCATTCCCACATCTATTCTCTGGCAAGGATAATCTACGTTGTCTAATTCCATGTGCAATTGACCAGGTTCAGTGTTTGTTAGACTCTTCTTAGTTTTGTCATATAATGATAGCATATTAACTCTTAATTATAATTAAGGAGTATATGGTTTTGTAAGCGATTAACCATGGTTCCTGAATGTTAATCCTTAGTTTTATGTATTACTCCACACATTATTGCTCACAATAGCTTGCAAACTTTAAAAATATGCTACAATGCTCTTTCATGCTTCCTTTCATTTCTGAAATGGTTATAATTGCTGCTAGTTTGGATGTTGGGTCTTTCGGCCTTGTTGCTTTGCAACTTAAAGGAAGCCTTAAGTCAAAGCAATTCTGAAATTTGTCAATTTATTATTATTATTATTATTTGTTTACAATTGGTAAAACTGATGATTACCTCGTCAATCCTTTCCCTTGGGATTTTTCTCTCTAGCTCTGTTTGTCTGCAGGTATATTTTTCATTTTTTTTAAATTTGTTGCTGTTGCTCAGGATCCGTATTTCAGAATGACACGAGATGTTGCTCCTCGGATAGGGTATCATAAGCCTGCATTGATTGAATCACTGTTCTTCCCTGCTCTCCAGGTATTTGTGTAGGCATAGAAACATTATTAGAATAATAATGTACAGAATTCGTCAATCGTCATAAGTTTGTGTTTGTTGGTAAAGATCCGATATTGACAATCAGGTTATTTCCTGTAACATAATGTTTGCACATTATATTATAGCCCATAACTTTGCTAATAAACAATGTTGCATATATGTGGCCAAAGTTTGATGTTGTGCCTAACTATTTGGTTTGAATTGCTTTATTTTGCCTTATCTTCTTTGTCTTTGATAGTTCATACAAGTTTAATGGTTTGTTAAGTTATTGTACAATTTTAACTTTTAAGCAAATAAATACTTACTATGGTTTCATTTTACTCATAAAGCAATCTTGATGTGCTTACATTTGACTATGTATACTTTTCATTTGAGGCTGGAAGCTTACAAAGTGCATATACTCTACGTTATGATTCTGTATTTGCTTTAAAAAAATTTATGTTTCAAGTTCTGTATGCATATGGTAGAGGTTTTTGTTGCTAGGAGGATCATCACAGAATATATGTCAGCGCACTACCATCTAGTATTTTTGTTCGCCATTTGGTTGACTTCAAATGTGCTTTAAATTGGGTAACCACATATGAATTTACACATCAATTTTGAATTTGATGTCATGTTCATTCCAAAATGTGCTATATTTGCATTTATAGAATCGTATACTTTGTAATCATTCTCTAGTTTAAACAATAGCTTCATCATTTTTTGCACATGTAATCTCAGGGAGAAACAGGGAAGATGTCAGCTAGTGATCCAAATTCTGCTATTTACGTGACTGATTCTGCGAAGGACATCAAACACAAGGTAGGTTCATGAAATTTTTCATCATTCTACTTTGCTAGTTTCTAATTATGTTGACATAAAATGTTACATGTTTGACCCTATCCATCTTGTTAGTGCAACTGGTAGACCTTTCAAACATTTTGTGATAGGAAGTTTACCTAATTTTCGTTGAACTAAAATAGATGCATCATGAGCCTCATGGATATATCACAAGACTTTTAACGCCCTCGTGGTTCATTAAAGAAGTTTTAGTAATATTTTACTGAGGCATGAACTTTTAATTATTTTATTATTTCCGTTCACTTTATCTCAAGAACTTATTGCAAGACTGTCAATCCAATTTCTGTCAGGTCTTGTTTACTTCAGATTAATATGTTGGAACTGGATCTATTGATTCTTTATATTAGATCTGCTTTTCTTGTGCTTGTTTCTTGGTTTAGTTTAGCTGCGTTATCGCAAATTCTGCACTCCCATATAGTGTGACTTGTTGCACATATTTTATAACTGATCATTAGAAGGAAATCTTACAGCAAGTTGAAAGATCAAATAAATTACTTGCTTCAATTGATTTCTCGACATACTGTGATTTGCATTTGTATTTAGGTAAACAAGCATGCTTTCACTGGTGGCCAAGAATCCATTGAAAAACACAGACAATATGGGGCAAATCTTGAGGTAATGAATTTGATGTTCCCTTGTGACATATCAGTTGAATTTTATTGCCAGTTTGTGCTTCAGCTTTTAACTATCTCATCACATGTTACCAGTGAGGTTTCTCTTTGTAATGTTATTACCATTCAAGGATGGTGATCAGACATCCTGACCTCATTTAGATGCATATTAGCTGCCTGAAAACGCAGACAGTCGCACAGATCCAAATGCATATGCATCTGCGTAAACACACTAGTCTTTTATTTTTGCTGAAGCTATTGATATTAGCACTTTGATTCCTTCATTTTTAATGTTCCTTTTTTTCTTTGTTTTGTTGTTAGTCTGCTATTGAAAAACTGGATTTGTTTGTGTTTCAGGTAGATATACCAATTAAGTATCTTAATTTTTTCCTCGAGGACGATGCTGAACTTGAGCACATAAAGAAGGTAAACTTGCTGCCTTCATCAGTTTCAATGCTTTTCCTGTAACTGTCGGGTTCTTGTCATTTCTTGGTATTTCATATTTCTCCTCATCATTTGCTAGGAGTATGGTGCGGGGCGCATGCTTACAGGCGAGGTGAAAAAGCGACTCACTGAAGTTTTAACTGAACTAGTAGAAAGACATCGAAGGGCTCGGGCAGCAGTAACAGATGAGGTAAGGCTCTCGAGTAACTCCATTGATATATATCCTCGATCTTCTCATCCGAAAAGTAATTCAATCATCAAATTGAAGATCAACAACTGACGGGTAACTCTTTTGTTGTCTTTCTTCCAGATGGTGGATGCATTTATGGCTGTGAGACCCCTTCCCAACATGTTTGATTGAATTAATAATACCAGGTACGGAAAACAAATTTATTGTGGAAGAACACAACTCTGGGCTATATTAGATTTGTATTCCCTTTTGCTATATTCTGTAAATTACTGGATTTAGCTTCAGGGAGAGTGTACTTGTGGTGCAATGCTAGAGTGTTAAGTTGGAATTTAATATCTGAACTCGTGGAGGGAGAGTGATATACAAAATTGATTTAGTGGGTGTACAATTTTGATTCAGATTTTAATTTCATTTGACTGCAAATTTTATTTTATGCCAACGGATATGATGCATTTCTCAAACAAAAGTCAGCAGTTAAAAAATTGACGTTGTAACTTGGTTTTTAAAGGCTCAAGGTGCACCCAGACGTAAAAAATTTCTGGAGCCTAGGCGTAGGTGTACGCCTTTTGTATGCGAGGCGCACTTTTATGTGTTAAATTTTTTTATAAATTAATTTAGAACATATCCACATCTGTTAACTCCGGTTTACTCCTAAAACATTTAATTTCCTTCCCACACTATGTTACTTTACTATTGTTTATTCCCTCCTCAAGAGTCAAACCCTATTTCTACCATTTACAAAACCTTATCTTCCAAAACATTTCAAAATAATTAGGGTTACACACTTACGCTATAACAAACTAATGGTTGCATGTTTCAACAAGGTGAAACAATAATTTGTCCACACAAATTAACAAAAGAACAAAAACCAGTAACACCAATCCTAAGGCAACATTGCTCTGATAATTATATTATATTTCAATTACAAAAATTATTATAATTGTAAAAATAATTATATATTAGATATTTTTTTATATAAAGAAGGGCGATAGGCATAAGCAGTAGCATAATATTTATTACATTAGTTTATTATAATAAATCTTATTTTTATTAGTATAAAGAAAGAATAGAAAATGTGAGAGGACATATACGACAGTAATTACTTTTGATTAAAAGTAGGCAAAATGTGAAAATGTTATAATGAGCTTGGGCTGATTGATTAATAGATTAACTTTATGTATTAGGGTTAAGATAGTGAAAAAAATGAGTCTGCCCTAGCCGTTCGTCACCATAGTTCTTCTGTCGCTATTCTCTTATCTTCTTCTTTGATCTAATCTACGTTTTCTTCCAAAAGCGCACAGGCACCATACTCGGAGGCGCGCGCCTCATGGTGCCTCTCGTATGCCGCCTCGCCTTGACCTAGGCGGCCAATTTTTTCGGCGTTATACGCACCTTTTAAAACCAAGTGCTGTAAATCGATAAAATTGAATTGGAAGTGTTGCTTTCATAAATAATCTTTGTATGATCTGATCTGGATTAGTTAATGTCGGATATAATTGTATTCCCTTAAATAACGAAAAGTAACTAGAATTATTAATTAAATATACCACGCACGTTTTATACTCCCTCTTGCCTATTAAATTTCTCTACTGATAATTTTTTTTTGTTAATCTTTTTTAAAATTTACTTATTATTATTTAAAATTTGTTATTGATAAAATACCTTCTAAAATTTTTAAAGCTAAGTAGTTTTTTTATATATATTTTATAAAATTTAATTATTTAAAATAATCCTGATCAAAATTTAAAAATTAACTTTTAGTGGGACGGGAGGAATATTTAATTATGCCTAATTCACGTGTATAATGTTCGAAAGAACTTGTGGGTGCAAAATAATTGTACTTCTCTTATCGGTACGTCCGTTTAAAGCTTTTTATATTAAAATTTTGTAATTGCATTTCAGCTTGACATTCTAAATTTCAAATAAATCGAAACCAAATATAATTATGAGCCGAGCCAAATCCAACTTTAAGAGTTAATACTACAATTAATCATAATTTCTAAACTCCCTAAGAGTTAAATAAATAGCTATTTTTCTATTATAAAATAAATAAATAAATAAACACTTAAGCTCAATCAGTAACATCCAACATCTTTTGCTCATTACTGTTAACTGGTAAGAACAATTGGTGCGAAACTACAACTAAAAATATAAATAAAGCCACAAAAAGCCTATCAAAAATCGTTGCCAAGTAGATTCCAACACAACATGGTACAAAACCAAGTCCCCAAAGTATAAATATTAGGTTGATGATGTTGGATTCCTTCATCAAAACTTATTCTACCATAGAATCCACTGAAGCTTCAATGGCAGGCTTAGAACCCTTCTTTTTACCTGTATTTACAATGAGTGAATTAAGTTCTATGAATATTTGTTCGAAAAATAAAACTCAACCCAAAACTAAAATTCACACACATATATTCCATACACTGGTAGTGGAAAAAAAATATTCCACAAGCAGAGTTGAATCGATGTCATATGTCCTATTTAGGGTTTAAGATTATAAGCTTAGGATTTAGATACATTTAAATATGTCGGATGACATTCATATAGACAGAGCATATCCATGTTGGAAACAAATACCCAAAGTCAGGGTAGCATACAAAGAGAGAATGCTGCATTTCAAAGGATAAGCTATCTAACCTTTTCGCTTAAGCTTCAAATTCTTCTTCATGTGGAATTTTGAAGGTGCCTTTTTCGTAGCGTCTTGGGATGTGCCTGTATTTAGCAAACAGATTGAAATTTAAAATGCAAACCAGAGGTGATGGTCATCCATTAAACCGACCTTAAGATTGATTCCTTTTTAAGTGTAAAACCCAATTTCCAGGATCATTTAGCTAGCAATTATTCAAGAACAGCACCAAATTATGTTAAGGATCCATGAAATACTTTTGTGGATCAGAATTTTGAATTGCTTAATTGCATAGCAATTATAAGATACATAAATCAAACATCTTTCAGAATGGCTTTTAAGCTTAAGTAGTTAAATTCAGTTTATCAATCAACGCCTAACTCAAAAGATAATTTAGAAGAATAATGGCAGTTTTGGAACAACAGAACAGTCATGAAATCAAACACTAAAATGAAAAAGAAAATACCTTCAGCAGCCACCATCTCCACATCTTCCATAGTCACCAACCCCTTTTCTATAACTTCTTTTTGATCCTATCATTCATTGCCAAAAATAACCCAGAAGATTATTTCCACATAGAACTCAAAGAATCCATTAAGACAAAGAGCACATTAAACACGGAAGAAAAAAAAAGATTTTTCCATAGTAAGCCATTGAAACACATGAATCATACCCTCCGCCATTTTTTGAGAAGCTTGCGTTTACGCTTGCCGGAGATGGAGAGGGATTGAGATTTGTTCTTAAGCTTCTTAGTTGAAGGGTCGCCATGGGTTGCTCTTTTTCTCTCCGCTCTTTGTGCTCTCTTCTGCTTCTGAACTACGTTGAAACACTTCGCCATTCTTTTCTTTTTCTGTCTACCGAAACCCTAAAACTAGTTTGTTTTTCCTACTCCATTTTTAAAAGACTTTTAATCTTTTATTTTAGGGAAAACTACATAAATAGTCACCAAACTTTTAGATATATTGTACTTTGGTCACATACTTTTAAAATTTGCAATACATCCATGAACTTTTAATTCGTTTTCAGTAAGGTCCCTGATGTTACCTCCCGTAAACTCCTCTTCTTTAGGTTGTAGGAAGCTTTTCATGGATTAACAAGTTAGCTGTTCTGAAATTTTCTTTTCTTTTTTCCTCTCTAGTGTTTCACATGTTACAAGAGAAGGAAGGTTACATACAATATAATGTTTCTCGCCAGCTGGTTTATGGTATGATGGTCTATGTCCGTCAAGCAATTGTAGCTGATGCTTCTACTGCCTTATCAAGGGCAATTTGTATTATAAAGAGTATGGTGTTGTCCGTAAACAATTTGGTTCACAGAATGGTGGTCCAGAAACCCAGATACCATTGTATTTTGGATCTTATACTCATATACATGTTTCCAAGTATGGGTCCTTTTATACAACTACCTTTTATGATCACTTCTAGTAACTTTTTATATTCACGAGTTTGTGGTACACATCTGCTGAATATTCAGAATTAATTTTTAATTGTACTGAAGGCTGATGCACATCTAATGCCCTCACCTTCATTTATTTCATTTCAAGTGATTGATTACAAAACACTGTAAAATAAACTCTTTTCTTTGCTTGATTCTGTGTATGCTTTCAAATTTGTTATTGAGTGATGGAATTACAATATACAGATGTGACTCAAAGATTACAAACCAATAATTTTTCCACATTACCCGAGGTTCATGCATGCATTGCGGGGTTAAAGTCTATTACTATACACGGATGTGACCCAAAGGTTGCAAGTCAATGTTTTCTCCACATTACCTGAGGTTCATGCATGTATTGTGGGGTTGAAGTCTATTAATACTTCTGTAACTACAATGGAGAAGGAGAAGGAGAAGATTTAACGGAATGTAACATGTCACGTCAGATAAAACTAACGTGAGGTAATGCCAGAGACCTTATTGAAAATGAACTAAAAGTTTAATGAATGTATTGCATGTTTTAAAAGTTTGGTGACCAAAATGCAAGATATCTAAACGTTTAGTGACTATTTGTGCAATTTACCCTTTATTTTAACATAAATCATAATTCTCATCTCTCAACTTTGGATAAGGTTCTGTTTTGGTTATTTAATATTAAAAGTTTTCAATTTCATTACTAAAATATTTTAATTGATCCTATTTTAATTATTGTGCCATTAATTATTTAACAGCATTAGGAAATGCCATAATTTTTAAAATTTAAAAAAATCCCTCAAAATTTTCTTTTCATTTGTGAAAATATTTATGAGGTCTTTCACAAGAGTTTTAACCTATTATTTTTTAGTTCTTTTGATTTTTTTCACATTAGAGCATTTTTTTCAAATTGTAAGTGAAAGAGTGGAGGAGGAGACGAGAAATATATATACTGGTTTCGTACTAAATAAATGGAGGAGATTATAGATTAGAGTTATTTTCCCCCAGATTTAATATTGAATTTAACAAATTACATAGACACTTTAAGAAATTTAAACAAATAGAATGACAGATGACGATGAGATGAGTTTTTTTGCTCCTGCAGTTGACAAAAAATATGTTGGAAAATGATTGTTTCGACGGTGGCATGATATAAGGATGAAACTCTAAAAGAGTTTTTTATTGGAAAGCTGATAAAATAAAGAATAAAAAGTCAGATGAACAACATGTAACATTCACGTCGATATATAACATGCCTCATCACGCTATTGTTTTACATTTAACGTTCGAGTGATTAAGATATAAGTAATTTGAAATTTGAAATTTTAATGAAATTGAAAATTTTAAAGTTAGATAACTAATGTATAAACATGATAAAAGTTGAGGGATGGAACAGCGTAACTTACCCTTATGTCAAAGTGATTGTTACTTTTATTTTACGCCCACTCCAAATTTAGGAAATTTCTTGGTTTGGGCTCATGGGCCCAACCTTTATAAATAAATTAATATTTAAGGGGAAAACATAAAAGATAAAATAAAAGGTTAAGATAAAAATATATTAAAAAAATGAGAGTAACTAAAAATGTAATTTAAAAACCTATTTTTTTGTTAAAAATAAATAAATAATACAAATTTCCAAGTTTTTGCTTTGCAGCTTTTACTGGTTCTAATCAACTTTATAATTTTCCGGTTTAACTTGTATGGTTGAACCGATCATTCCGGTCTGATATTTTTCAATCGTACCCTCCTCGCTCTAGAACATAAACTAAAACATCAATTCAGATTAGAAATCAACAATATCAGATGATCTGAAATTTATTGACAACATCCAAATATCAGTTGATAGCTTGCAGTTTCTTGCCTGCACAAGAGCTATTCTTTAAGACGAATATAATATATTATTCATCAAAAACAAAGTCAAGCATCCCAGAACTCGCAAACTCAAGAGATTGGTTTCTCAGACTACTCTGTCTTGGTTGGTTGCCATGACTGGTAACTTGTCCAGTCTCTCTGGCCCGGATTAAGCGCATGCCCTTTTGAATGGTAGACAAACTCACTACCTTTGCTAGATAAGTTTTCCTTGTGCTCAGCCCCGTACCTCTTGGGTTTTAGCATCAAAAGCTGCAAATACATATTTGTGTATATATATATATATATATATTAAAAAGGACTACGCACAATCTTACATTGTGTAAGGCAACATAGTGAAAACGGGACTTGCCTCATCACCGGTGTGATCAGTTATGCAGTGAAGCCAGCCATGCCATTCCGGTGGTACCTGAGAAGCGTCATAACGATCCTTTTTCGCATATTCAACCCACCTGTGTCTTCCTACAAATGCCATGAATGGTATGCATAGGTAATAAACATAAATCAGAGACACTTCCATCTTCAAATTACACTCATAGGGGAAGTGTTTATTGTTGCACATAATTGATTGTTATAAGTAAATACATCCATATGCATGCATGTAAAACAAGGAAATACCAATAATCTTAATAATACAGCCGAAGGGAAAATCTTGTGCATTTTAAGTACTTAAATGCTCGAGTATGCAGACTTCAAATCATCCAATTTTCCTTCTGGCAGTTTCAACATGTACGTATAAAAAGAGAGGAAATCTAACCAATTTGTGTATCTCCAAGCTTCTCATAGTACTTATTGCCGAATTTATCAATACCCACAAGTGTTGCTCCTATGCCATGGATTTTGGTTTGCCTGGATCAATCAGTCAAATTACTATCACAGACAAAATAGATAATAATGATGAGTATATCCAAACTTAAATTCAGACTCATGCATTATTTAGTTGTAAGAAAAAGTGATACAGAACTCTAAAATTTGAGCTGGAAGAATAAGGCAAAAAAGAAAAATCCTTTATTGTAAACACAGTATATAGAAAAAAATGGTAAAAATAGGAAAAGTGAAAAAAATGCAACAAATCTATAGGAAAGATGCATGCCAAGACTATATGAGAAAACAAAAGCCCCTATCTAGCTTGTCCTCATAATTACAAATGACACAGTTCGCAGCAGGCTAACTATCAAATATTAAGAGAACATAATCTTCACAGAAGGCCAAAAATGCATTTAAAAAAAAACAATGGACTGCAAATATTTTCTACACCAGTTTGACAACTTCCTGGAACCGATAGAAGATATCTAGACTAGATAGCCTTCCCTTACAATTATACACTATTCATCTTCCACCATAAAGGTAAAGAAAGCAATTATCATAAAAATTGCATACAACATTCATGCCCCACTGGTTATAACTCACAAGCAATGCTTATTGAATTTGCCTTGTACAAACAAACATGACATAAGAGACCAGAAAATCAAAGAGATTAATTAGAAAACTATTGGCTTTGTCAGGAAAATGCCATGCAGATTTAAGGGCAGACCCTTGAATTCAAGTTAGGCAATGGGTGTTTTGTGCAGGCAAACTATCCTAGTTAAAAGGCAGCAGAATCCGTGGCAATTTTCTTTAATGCCATTCAAAAAATCACTAAAACTGCAGATACCACTCGTTTCCTAACTTGAATTCAAGTCAATGCTCAAAACTTCCACACAGCCAATAAAAATAAAAAAAAGGGGGAAAATTGTTTCCTCCTGTCAATGGATTAGACCCAAGGGAGCTAGGGTTTAAATCTTAAGATTTCTAAACACTTAAGATCTCAAAATTATTCACATTTTTTATCTGTGAATCAGTTTCTAATTACACAATCTTTTCCCCCTTTATCCATGCCCAGCAGGCACTGAATGTCTTTGGAAGTTGTAGATTTTAGAATCATTAAATCAGAAACATCTCATTGAAGCTGGATAATATTTCCAGATCCATTCTCTCCCCCTCCCCACCCCCCAAAAAACAAGCGGATTTACAGTCATGTTTTGCTAAAGTTTCATGTTTTCTATGCATTCAAATCTCGAGAAAACAAAACAAAAGAAATGGAATGCCGAATTCAAATCATATTCTGGTAGCATACAACATGTTCTATTTAGAGATTTTCTAAAATTTCAATTTCAACAACCTCCTAATTCCCCCTTTTTTCCAAATGAAACGAGTTTTTAATTATAATGTCCCAAGTAAAAAAAAAGAGAATCTGACGTACAGAAGGTTTCCATCGAAGAAGCATTTCTGGAGGAAAAACAAGGAATAATCAGTAAAATAATGAATCACAGATAGAAAAATAATGTAAAAAGGGGGTAATTCACACTTTGAATCGAATAATTAAGAGAAGTTTGAAGAAATCGAAATGGAAAGAAGGGAAGAGAGTGGGATTACGAACGTGAAGCCTTCATCCTTGAGGTCCCTCAAGAAAGTACGGAGACCTCTCTCACGGATCGCCTGCAAAGCGCTCTTCACCACCGCCGTCGCCATCTCCTCTCCTTTATCGTCTCTTTAACAATAACTTTTTTCCTTCAATTTTTGAGGACTTAGGTTTATAGGATTTTTTCCTTTTCTAGACATATCAGTATATTTAAGATAAAATATGTAATCACTCCCTGTACATTAATATTGTTTGAGATTTAGTCCCACACTTAAAGTAAATAAAAATTTAAGGGTAAACTACACAGATACTATCGAACTTTAGATGTTGTATTGTTTATACCATTAAATTTTCAATTTTTTCAATTATAACATTGAACTTTGATTTCCTTTTCAATTATACCACTGCATCATCAAATCGTTAATAGTCAGATCAAAACGACGTCGTTTTGTTGAGGTGTCTATGTCAATAACGTTATCCACAATAACAGTTGACAAATACGTCATCGTGTCATTAATGATTTAACGATTCACTAGTACAATTAAAACGAAAATCAAAGTTCAATATTATAATTGACAAAATCAAAAGTTCAATGGTATAAATGATTCGATGTCTAAAAATTTGGTGGTACCTAACATAGTTTACAAAATTTAATTTCCTTTACTTTTTAATTCGAAAAAACCTATTTCTCATTGTTAAGCTACTCTCATATGACGTAGCATATGATTGAATTTGACAAAAGAATAAATATATTAAAAATGGTCAGTTTTATAAAAAAAAATATTCAGAATATTAATAATTGAATAAAAACTTTTAAATAAAGAAAATATAAAACATTTAACTTTTAATTTATAATGTATAGATTAAAGTCTTAAATTCTACTTGCTTAATATGTTGGCCGCATATTTATTATTTATCGTCATGATTCGTTTTTTAAAAATAAATAAATTATTTATCTACAGTAATTCTATAACAACAACAACAACAACAAAACCCAATTCCCATATGTATGGGGTAAGGGGGAGGTAGGGTAGTAGGCTACCCCCAACGCCAGGTTGAGAGTAACTTCCGTGGAAGGCCTCCGGCAGTCAGAAAATTAAAAATTTAGATAAAATGCAATGCATGTATAAATAAATACATAAATACATAGCTAAAACAGTATTCATATGCAGTCATTAAAATCATATGTGCGTCTGTAACGGGAATTAATCCCTGCATAATTATCCCTGCGAAAGAATCTCTGCATATAGACATAAACATAAGATAAGATCCGGCTAAATTTAAAATAGGAAACATGAAGAGAATGATACACAGAAGTAAACGTTAGCAAGCCCAGTTCTAAACCTTCATAAATACCAATAACAGAAACGTATAAAAAGTATAAGTCATGGAAAATACTACAAAGACATTAAAAGAAGACAGAAGTGATACACCCTATAGATGTGACCCACACTACTCGACTACCCTAGTCTTTAGCCTCCATATTTTCCTATCAGAGGTCATGTCTTCGGTAAGGGCTAAATCCCTCAAATCAGATCTCAAGCAGTCTTCCCACTTTCGCCTTGGTCGTCCTTTCCTTCTGGCACCGTCGACTGTAATCGACTCTACCCTTCTTACCGCATCCGACGGTAGTCGCCTAAGGACATGCCCAAACCACCGTAGTCTTCCCTCCCTCAATTTTTCGGAAACAGACACCACCCCCAAGGACATCCTAATAGCAGAGTTTGTCGTCATATCCCTCAGAGTCTTACCACATGTCCATCGAAGCATTCTCATTTCTGCGGCCTCAATCCTCCTTACGTGATCCTTCTTGGTTGCCCAACATTCTGATCCATACAACAGCGCTGGTCTTATTGCCATTCTATAAAATTTTCCCTTAAGTTTTAGAGGGACCTTCTTGTCACACAGAACTCCAGTAGCGGCCCTCCACTTTAACCATCCCGCCTTTATACGGTGTGTAACGTCATCATCTACACCCCCATCTTTATGTATCATAGACCATAGGTACTTGAAACAATCCTTTGAGGGGAGAACGTGTCCTTCTATGCATACTTCTACATCTTCATCGTTTTGGTTCCCATTGAAGTTTGAACATAAATACTCTGTCTTTTCAATATTGATCCTTAAACCTTTTTCTTCCAAAGCAATCTTCCAGGTAGCCAGTCTGCTATTCAACTCAGATTTTGTTTCAGCAACTAAGACAATGTCGTCAGCGAAAAGCATACACCATGGTACACCGTCTGGTGTCGTGCAATAGATGTCGTCCATGATTAAGGCGAAGATGTAAGGGCTAAGAGCCGACCCCTGGTGGAGTCCGATTTCCACCGGGAATGCCTCGGTGTCGCCAACTGTAGTCCTGACGTAAGTAGTAGATCTACAGTACATATCACGAATCGCCCGGATATAAGCAGTTGGGATCCGTCTCGTTTCCAAAGTCTTCCAGATCGTATCGCGGGGGACACTATCATAAGCCTTCTCAAGGTCAATGAACGCCATGTGAAGATCTCTAGACTTTTCCCTATATTTCTCCATAAGCCGTCGAAGTAGATGAATCGCCTCCGTGGTAGACCTGCCTGGCATAAAGCCAAATTGGTTTTCCGAAACCCTAGTAACTTGTCTCAACCTAGCCTCTATCACCCTTTCCCATAGCTTCATGGTATGGCTGAGGAGTTTAATACCTCTGTAGTTACCACAACGTTGGGGATCTCCTTTATTTTTATAGATTGGTATCACCGTAGACTCTCTCCACTCATCTGGCATCTTGGCAGTCTCTAGAATAATATTAAAGATGTTGGTCAACCACTTAACTCCCTCTTCTCCTAGGGCCAACCATACAGTGATAGGAATTTGATCAGGACCGACAGATTTGTCCCTTCCCATCTTTCTAAGAGCCATTTTGACTTCCTCAAACCCAATCCTACTTGTAGGGCAGTCATTGGCCGTAGTATGATAGTCGGCTAACCCATCAACGATACTATCTCTACATGGAGAGGCACCGTCATTAAATAAGTTAAAGAAGTAACTACCCCAAACCCTCTTAATATCGTGATCTTTCGCTAAAAGAACACCATTGTTGTCCTTAATAAACCTAATGTTACCTAGATCCTTTTTCCTAATCTCCCTAGATTTTGCAAGTCTGAAGATGCCATTTTGTCCTTCCTTGGTGTCTAATCTCTTGTACATTTCCTCGTATGCCTTATCCTTTGCTTTAGCTACCGTTTTCTTGGCTTCCCGCTTTGCCTCCTGGTATCTTTGTTTAGCTCTCGACCTTTCTTCGTCGTCATTGCATTGTAGAAACTCCTTGAAGCAAGTTTGTTTTGTCTTCACCTTAGTTTGGACTTCGTCGTTCCACCACCACGATTCTTTATGTTCCTTGGCCTTCCCCGTCGACAACCCAAGGGTATTTTTGCCAACATCTCTGATGGAATTTGCCATATTTTTCCATAACATATCTGCATTTTTTGAGTTTGTAGTTTCAAAACTTGTATTAGACAAAACCTTACTCCTAAAGTCATCAGTTGTCGCTCCATGTAAGTTCTTCCAGAGGATCCTAGGTTTACCAAGTTTAGCCCTCCTATGAGTGCTCCGCCCGTGGGGTACGCGATACACCAAAACCAACAATTTGTGTTGTGATGCACATGCCTCTTCAGGGAACACCTTACAGTCAATGCAAGCCCATCGTTCCTGATTTCTAATCAAGATGTAGTCGATTTGGGTACAATGTCCCCCGCTATGAAACGTAATCAAGTTCGCATCTCTCTTATTAAAGAAGGAGTTAGTGATCACCAAATCGTGAGCAGTAGCAAAATCAAGCAACGTACGCCCCCCATCGTTCCTGCTACCATAACCGAAACCCCCATGAACACCGTCATACCCGTCGGTTGCACTTCCTATATGGCCATTGAAGTCTCCCCCTATGAAAACTCTTTGGTCCTCCGGAATGCTCCTAAGTATATCATCTAACTGATCCCAGAAGCAACGTTTCTCCCCCTCCCCTAGGCCAACGTGTGGGGCGTACACTGAAAGGACATTCACTACTTCCTCTTCTATAATAACCTTAATCATCATGATCCTATCCCGGTATCTGCAAACTTCAACTACATTTTCCTTGTGCCTAGAGGATGCCAAGATACCCACCCCATTTCTAGCGTTATCTACGCCTGAATACCACAACTTGTACCCATTACACTCTCTTGCGCGAGACCCTTTCCACCTAGTCTCCTGAATACATGCAAAATCTATTTTTCTATTATTAAGTACGCCGGTCAGCTCCAGCAGCCTAGCATTTAATGTGCCTACATTCAGCGAGCAAACTCTTAATCTAGTCTCCTTGTCACCACTCTGTCGAGCCCTCCCCCTATACGCCCCATGGGATCTAAAAGAATGACATGACCTCAAGTAATCATCTGTAACCGAAGCTATGAGGAACTATGAAAAAAGAATCCAAATAAGACAAAAGATGCACTAATAAAACGCTAGAGAATTGAGGAGTACTAAAAATCCTAGTTGGTTACTTAATAGGATTTTAAGAAAAAATAATATTATCTTATTTAACTATAGGCCAATATCTAGAAACTATAATTTAAAATGTTTAATAAATATCCGAGCTAAGCAAAAAATGATTAAAATTGTAACACTAGATATAAGAGTAATGAAATCCTACTCAACTAATTGAAAAACATCAAACCCAAAGCTGGTAAAAAAAAGATCAGTATAAAAACAAGAGAAAAAACAGCAAGAAGCTAAGTCAAAGAAAGCAGATCCAACAACAACAAGATTAAGAAATATTAAGTGATTGTGTCAAGTTTACCGATCCTTCTTGAATTGAAAAAAGTGAATCTTTAAGTTAAAGGATCAAACTTTACACAAAACAGAATGGAAAAAAGTGAAAAAAGGCCCTCTTTTTTCAAAAGCACTATAACGCACACAAAAGTTAATGTTTTTCAATGAATTTGAGCTATCTCTTTTCCTTTGCTTTCTGCTCAGTAACAGAGCAACTCTGCAACAGAACAGTCAAAAAAAGAACCAGAGAAGAAAAAGTAATCCTACTCTCCTAGAAACCAGATTCGAACCTAGATAAACCGAAATCTATACACAACTCGAACTGGATACTTTGTAGCTATTTGAAATAATGAGGAGAACTGTGAAGAAAGAGAAACAAAC